AGGACATTATAATAAAAGCCAGATTAGATATCTTTAAATTCAAATAATAAAAATCGATTTGAATAAGATAAAAATCTAATCTTCCATCAAAGTTGATGGTGTCCATTCATAAAAGTTAGTGCTTGACCGACTTCTTAACACTTGAAAATATTCAGCAAAAGTGAAATAACATGCTGAATGTAATAAGTCGGAATTAAGAAATCCTGACTTATCAAAACTACCGAGTCTAATATACTTGAAAACTTATGAGTGAAAACCGATATAATAAAAAGCCATTCATTTATCAGAAATCTTTTTTCAAACTATTACAACTACTGCATAAAAAAAGTCAAAGTGACCCGACATGCTCTCAACAAGGCTAAGCATCGTCATCCTTGATCGCTTCTTCATCAGCCTTATCATCCACCCTTGGAATCTCTTTGTCCTTCATTGTTTCTTTCACATCATCTTTTGTGATCTTTTCATACATGATTCGACTGATGATATCAAAGACTTGATCCCCTTCGGCCTTTGCGGCATTCTCCACTTCATTGAGGGTCACTGGAATATGCTTATCCAAGATAGAATCATTCTTCTCAACACCAGGTAACTCGGTAACAGAAGGCTGATTATCTTTATGAGATAACTCAGATACCTTTCTTTCAAGGAAAGCCAGCACTGCCTTCCGAAGTTGCTCGGGAGTCATCATCTCAAGCTCTTCTTCCAGACTCACCTCGGCTAAAGTCTTCACATAAACATTGGCGAGCTCAACTTTTTTCTCCTTCTCGCCTTCTAACACCATATTAACAAATGACCGGCGAAGACGAGCCTCTCTTTCTCGGTTTAATGCAGGGGCCTCAGAACCCTTTGCTTCGGCTCCAACAGAAGCAAGCAACCCCTCGCAAAAGCTTTTCTCGTCCTCATCGGCCTCAATGTGGGCAGTTGAAATGGAAGGGTTGAAGCTGTGGCTCTTAATTTTGTGAAGGAGAAATTGTCGAATCTCCTCAATGTCGTATAATCCCTCATCAAATCGCTTGATGACCCAGCGCAGATTGAGACATGTGTTCATCTCGAACTCACGGTCTTCATCTTCAGAATCGGAGTCGGTCTTAGCCTTCAGTCTGTTGGCCTCGGCTTCAAGGATCCTCCCAGCTCGAAGACCATCGTTGTACTTCTCCTCAGCAAATTTAATTTTTTCCTCTTGAAGTCGGCTGAGGTCAGCACGATGGTCATTCCTACTTTTCAGCAGCAGTTCTTCAATCTCAGACCGACTTGTCCGAGTAAGCTCATGAGCTTCTTTTTCTTTTTTGGGGTGAGATTCACACCGAGCGAGTTGTTCTTCCAGCGTTTTGACATGCTGCTCGGAAGTAATCACTTGGCTAGTTAGCTTCAACACATCGGAGTCAAGGCCAGCCTTCTCGGTTTTCAGGGTCTCAATCTCACCCTGGGCAATTATAAGCTGTTCATTCTGTTCGGCAACCTTGGCTTGAAGCTCTCTCTCTTTTGCTGCTGCTTCTTCCCTCAAAGACGCAAGAGCTCCGTCTCTAAGTTCAAGAGTATGCTTCTTTTCATCTACTTGGGCTGCATTAAGCCGAAAGTCATCTTCGGCCATAATCAAACTAATGAGAGCTCGACCGAGACAAGCCTTCGCATATTTAAACTTATAAGTGCTCGGAAGGGAGGACACACCAATCTCGGACCTCGGATCCCACACCATCATCGGGACCCGAGCAGCATCAACGACATGACTGGGCAGCTCAACTGTGCTTGATATCTCAGGGATCTCTACCGACTCAAAAGCCGAGAACCACTTCTCGACAGACTCCCGAGGCCGCCTAAAGTTCAAAGCCCTCTCCTCGTCAATGGGCAAAAAAGATCGATCAACTAAGGGCTCTTTCTTCTTTCCCCTTCCACCAACATCATGTTTCTTTTTGGTTCGTTCCTCTGCAACAGGAGTACTTTCTGCACGTCTCTTCTTAGATCGAGTAACCGGAACTTCACGCTCTATAACATCTCGATCACCTTCAGGTTCATCGGAAGCGATTTCAACAGCAGGCATAACTTCAGATGGATAGGCCGTAGCAGCAGCAATGGCAGCCATCGAACCTGCTGCTGCGATAGCTAAAGGATTTGGTTGTAGAATCTCAACAGTAGCCGCTGATGTCGCGCCATCACTGACGTCGGTCATCGGAGGATTCATGATCGGGTTCTCCAAGTATGCTTTCACCAGTTTTTTGCGACCCATCCCTGATAAACGCAATTCTCTGCTTTTTCCAACTTTTGACCGAAGATCCAAGTTTTGGACTTTTCTGACGGAAAGCTTGAGCGTCGCGGATAGTCTTGAAACCGAGAACACCAAGAAGAGGATAGTACACTGCAAATTGAAAACCAAGTTACAAAGATTTTCAAAGGCGACCGACTTCAAAGTTAAACCTGGTTGGAAAATTTCGAATGAAAATTTATTCAAGTTAAACCTGGTTGGAAAGAACTGTCAGAAATCTCGGGACAAAGACCTACAGCCTTCAACCTTGTGTCCTTCAAAATCAATTTGTAACTGCGTTGAACCTTCCTCAACTTGAACAGCTCGGTAATTCTTTCTTTTAAAGTCGTGCCGAGTTTCGCTCCTTTGCTTTTGGCTGCAAACAGTAAAAACGCTGACCTGTTAGTACAAAAATAAACAAAGTCAGGACAACTCGGTAAAAGAAGTAAAAGAAAAGAACTTACAAAATGCAGAATTAATATTGATGGGTATCGACATCCCATCAATTAAAGGCTTGGAAAAATTCGGAGTTTGCCAATCACCACCAACCCATAACCACTCCTCTTGAAACCCATGGAGAGACTCAGGGATCTCGGTAATCAATTCACCAATTTTTAATCCCCCTTGGGGCCTTCCTGCGCAAGCATGGCAAATCAGGGGATCAGCCACTTGTCTTTCGGCACACCGCCTGAACGTGAAGAGACTCCTTATCTCTTCAACAGTTGGCATATCCCAACCCTTTTCTTTTAAAAGGACCATCAGACCAATAATCCTCTTCCAGGAATTCGGCGCAATTTGACATAAGCCAAATCCCCAATCCCTCAAGTAATCGGTAATCAATGCTGGGAGCGGAAACCGAAGTCCAGATCTTAACGAGTCGGCAAACACACCCACACAACCGGGAGGGGGACACGTTATCCTTTCTCCCGGATAAGGAGCAAACAACCTCACGGAGGAAGGAATATAAACTTCTCCTCGGAGATTAACGATATCAGCGTCAGTCAAGATGCTCGGTTCGCCTCTATATTCGTTAATTGGTTCAGGCCACCGACGAGCAGGACGTCTCCAATAATCAGGAAGCGACATAGCATCCTTCTCAACTCGTTCATCCTCTTCAATGATATCCCAGTTAAGATTTAGTCGCTTCACCAAAAGCGGATCCCACCGATAAAACTCAAGAGGCAACTCCAAATCCTCATCGGTAAAAATCGGAATCTCTGAAATGGTACGGCTACTACTATCCTCGATTTGAGTAGACATCTTCGTCGTAGTCGATGAAAGAAAATGACAAGTCCGAAATCGATAAACAAGAAAATAAAGAAGATTAGGGCAAATTCTTACCGAAATTCTCGAAAACCCTGAATCGGAGAAAACACAAACAAGGTGCGCAACTTACACAAGAAAAAGTCGAAGAAGATGAAACAGAGATGAGAGCAAAAGATGAGAGAAGATAAGAAAATTTCTCGTAAGTCAAAACCGACTATGATTTATAGGTTTTGATTTATAACCGTTGGTAAGATCCGAAAACGGCGCGTGTAACGGATGTATCTCGAAACGGTGTAACGTTACAGTAATCATTAATCCACGTGGACACACCCAGAAACGCCATGTCGTTACAAGTTTATATCCGTCAGACCCATTAAATGCAGACACATCTTTTAAGAACTGCCACGTCAAACCACAAATTATATGAGAAATCGCAAATGGAACAAAGTGTTCTCATGTCGGTCGTCAAATGGCAATCAAGTCGGCATAACGCGGAACAACAAACGACATCAGCAGCCATTTGAAAACTCCAAATACCTACTAATGTCGGGGGCCTCTCTGTTGATAACCGACTTGATTATACAGTTAAAACTGAAGATCGATTACACCAATGAGCACCATTGGAGTAAACCAGCCAGAAAAAGACGAACTTGAGATAAGTCGGTATTTATATACCGACTTCCGAGACGATCAAAAGAAAAAGACCGACTTCATCAACATCATGACCGGTCATGTCAAAACCTCTCTGTTTAGACCGACTACTACAAAGTACAAATTTCCAAACACAAAACAAGCTGTAAGCACCTGATTGGATCATCGAGCAATCATTGATATTCCCCAGATCAGAGCACACCGCTTAAGTGAAGCAGCTCAACATTAAATACGCTCTTATCCATTTTGAGCAAAAGGACAAAAGCTACCGTACTATAAATAGCAGAATTTATAACAGTACGAGGATCTTTTCGACACATTGTACATAAACAGAAAATTATGTCGGTCATGAAAACAAAACCGACTTCTTGTACTCTTGTGAATGATCAATAAAAACATAAATTCCAAGTTTATCTTCGTAAAAACACACTCAGCTGTTAATTTTCATCGTTGTTAGTTTCATACAACAACACGTATCTAATTAGAAAAAGAAACATAAAAGAGAAAAAATCAAATTGATGATTTTTTTTTTCAATTTATCGAACCATATTTGTGAAAAATAATTAAAACCAGTCGCAGGCTTTCGGCAAGGGAGTTCTCCAGCGAATCGTTCGACGGCGACGCCACCATCCTAGGGGGCCTAACAAGAATCCCCTCAGCCATACCTTGTCCAAATTAGGCATATCAAATTGTGCCTCGAGATCCATGAATTCCTACGCTCCGATTATTGTCGCCGCACTAAAGCATCGAATTCCGGCCGTTGTCCCCTCTTCGTTCTCCGCCTTCATCAACTTCGCCACGTTATGGGTATCAGGCGGCGAAGAAGGCACCGGGACACGCGCCATCACCGCCACGTTGTCGGCGGTATCTCCGATGAGGGGTGGTGGTGATCAGCCATATGTCGGTGGTCTTCAAACGAACTGCAGATGTATTTTTTAACAAAATTGAAATTGAATTGATATTGTCGATTTAAGGAATTCAAAAAGTCAAGTTCCATAAATTCCATGTAATTTATGAATTCATATTCAGCAAGAGAAAATTTGACGTGGATAAAATTGGCCGGTCATGCTGGGATTTTTTTAACGTCCGACGAATTTTAGGTTTGTTTTGCAAAAATAAGATAATGTAGAGATTATATTGCAATTATGCAAAAGTTTTGATTAAATTGCCAAACGATAAATGGGTGATTGGATATGAATTCAACTAGTAAGAAATTAGTTTTTTTTAACTATAGTTAAATTTGAAAAAAGTAGTATGGTTAGTTGTTAGTGGATATATTAAAATAATGATTAAATTAAAATAATTAAAGTTGATTTGATGTAAAAGTAGGAGAAAATGATTGGAAGTGATGGTTAGTTAAAATTATGTGAGTGGGTGAATAGTAAATTAAAATTGATGTGATGTGTAATAATTATTGGTTGATATTATTTAATTATATTGATAATATTGGAGGTAGTGGAGTTGAGTTAAAATTAATTTAAATTTGAATTTTGAGTGGGATATTTACGGTAGAAATTATATACACGTCTAAAAGGTCAAGGTGTATATAACAATCTATACTTATATAAAAGGAGATTCTATTTACTACATTTACTATCCAGAAAAGCCAACTGCATTAAATGGCATTACTATTGTGGTATTATAATATTTTATTTATTTAATTGATTTATTTATTTACTTTATTTTAAAAAGGTAAGTTTAATAAAAAGATTTTAATGATAAAAAAATCAAATACCAAATAAAAATGTACACTTTGACTTATTTGATTATATTTGGTATTTGATTATACCAAATATATTCCTATTTAGTATATACATTAAATACTTACTAAAGTATTTATTTGTTTTATTTGTCAAATTTAAGTATCGATTTGTTTATATTATCAAAACATAAAAAAATATTAAATTCATATTGTAAAAAAAAAAATTATATAATTTTATAACAATTCTACTACACTATAACAATATTTCTTTTTTATTATAGAATAAAATAATAATTATATATTATATGGTGAACAACAATAAGTAAAACTGTTACTTTCTCTTATATCAAGGAATGAATTTATATGCTAAAATTAAATTTTTATTAGTATAAATGTTTTAGTGAGATAATATATTAATTATTTTACAAGCTAGCCCAAACATGCGCATGTTTAATATTTTAAAAGATGTAGAAAAAAAACTTATAATAACTCTATTGTCTTTTAGACTTAAACGTTGATTAAAAGAGGTAAAAATTCTTAATTTTTTAGACTTAAACGTTGATTAACACCATAGATTGAGAGTTTATATTTAGTAAAATTCCTAATTGTAATAAAAAAAATTAATTTTTGCTATATTTTAGAATATCTTTAAATTCATTATAAAAAAAAAGAAAAAAAACTATAATGGAAAAAGCAAGTTAGCTATATATCAATTTGTTGTACTCCTCAAATCACATTCACAATTTGGCTACAAGGAAAGAAAACTCATTAATTAAAATATTATTTTGTCAGTAGTCTTAATGTACAAGAGACTTTAAGACTCCACTTGAATATTATAAAACTTTTATTGAACATTGTACAATTTTCTTGTGTATTATAAACTTTTATTGAATATTGTATCTTATAATATAATATTCTCCAAATAAATATATCTCGTGCTTCGCACAGGTCACGTACTATATATATCCCGTACATTTTTCTTTATTCATGTATATAATTATAAGCCTGAATAAATAGCCTTAAAATTGTGCATCCCGTGCATCGCACGGGCTCTGTACTAGTTCACCCTAAAAAGAACAATATATTATATATATATCGTCTCGTTAATCAATCTACGGATTATCCAATCTTTGCACAACAGAATAAAAATCAATGGAAAACCCTAACCATGACGGCGCCGCTTTTCCACCCCTCACCGACCACGAACCCACGGCGCACCAATCGGAGCCCGGCGCATCCTGGCAGAGTTTTGACAGCACCCATAGGCAGTTGATCCAATCAATGGTGGCAAACTTGTCGGAGTCGGAGAAGGTAAACCTAATATTGACAGCCGCCATTAGATACGCCGTCGTGCGCGGAGACCTCATTACGGCGCTGGCCAGGGACGAATCTAGGACGATCTGCGTCCATATCCTAGCCTGTGACGCGACAACACCAGTTAAGCTGTTTCGTGTGCTTAACGAATTCGAGGACATGGATAACGCCCACTTCCAGTGGTGGTTCGAACCGGATTGCGTCATTGCTATGATCTCTTTTGTCGATCCAAGGTCCGCAACACGGGTCCTCCAGACGTCGGCTGAGGATGTGGACGAGCTTCAGCTCCAATGGCATGCCTACACTGCCAATTGTGCCGCCTGCCGTCGGGCGTGGACGTAGGCAACTCGAATCTTTATGTTTATATTATTTACTAGGCTTTTTTTTAGTTCACTGGGTAGCGTTTTTACTAAATTAGATGATGACACTTGATTGATCTTTTGTGCACCGGTTAATTTGGTTGAACCTTTGGATTCTTAATCTTAGCTGTCTTCGAGTAGTATCATTTGAAATGCTACCTTCATGTCCATAGCAAAATTCAATAACTTCACCTTTTCCTCTCTTTTGTTCTTTTTGTGCAACTACTATATAAGAAATATGTATGATTTTGTCTATTTGGGATGTGTAAAAGCGTTCATTGTCATATTCCTTTGACTGGGTTTAATTTGGCTTAGTAGAGATATTAGTAGTCTCGAGTGATGCGTACCATGAACTCATCTTAAATTCCTAAAAATTACTATGAATTGCAAATTGTGATATGGGTTCAACAACCCCCTGTTAGTTGCCAAAATGACAATTTCCAACCGTTATGGGTTTTAGCACAACCACACATTCTTAGTCATGTGTATTTTTTTTTTTTTTCAAACAAAAAAATATTAAAAAACAGGTTTCTTGAGCTTTAACATGTGGAAACACAAACTACGTGGACCCTTCTAACATTTCACGGGCGCCTGACGGTTATTACACAAGCACTGGCAACACAGCGAGTGTCACTTTTCCTGAGGGCTCTTCCTCAACAACTCTCCCCAAGTTTCTTGAGCTTAACATGTGGATTTCCGGTTCTGTTGAAGTGCGTCCTCTTCCGGTCGATGCTTATGGTGTGGCTTATAATGATAGGAGGATTCTCAAGAAGTTGTTTCTTTTAAATTGTGGGTACACTGACAACATTTCTCTCCGCCTCCGCACCCTTATACGGATGGACTAGATTGGATACCCATTATTCAGATTTGGACAGTCGGACTTACATTTTGGTGCCGCTGCTTCCTCGTGATGTTGACTCTTCCCCTGTACGCCTTCAGGACCAGGATCATATTTTTTGTTTATTTGCAGAAGTTGATTTTTTCTTGTATTTGTTTTTGTTTTGTTCTTTTCATTTGAACTGTTGTTTATTGAGACATCGATCTGTAGTTATGTGACTTTTTAGCCCACTTCGGGCCTTTTAATAATATATATATTACTTTGGTCCAACAAAAAAAAATAAAAAAAAATAATAGTAGTTAGCTAAATATAAGTGTCCATTTGTGTTTGCAGATGCTGAAAAGAGTTTGAGTATCCTTTTCGTAGTTTTCCAAAAACAGACGATTACACGAATGCTAAAACCGTTTTTTATTTTCAATTTTCTTAGTCAAACTATAAGAACCCGTTTTTGCGTTTTAGAGATGAAAAGAAAAAAGCATGTGTTTTGAGTCTTGAGAATCTGTATAAATTAAGAATTTGCATTTAGAAACTCTCAAAATGAACTTATTTTTTCTTTCAGCTAAGCGGTCAAAACAGGTTTCATGGTTTTCCGATAAAATTTAGAAATGCTTCAAACACAACGTGTATATTGTATTTTTCTTGAAGCTATCCATTGGACCAATATGACCGAATATGGGAAGCTGACAAGGATTTCTCTCCTTACCACGTGTCTTCAAGTTTCGTCACTCAAACCAACTTCAGATCATCCAACATCAAAGGGAGCCCTCCCAACGCCGTTCTTCAGACAGCCCGAGTTTTGGCGAGAAGGAACAACCTCGTATACTATATGCCTCTAAGTAATAACAATAATCAACGAGATTACCATACCCTCTTGAAATAAAATAACTACATATCCTTATGGAAATAACACAATTTATCACACGGTTGACTAATTTATCACACCATCTTATAGTAATAAAAATCTACTCCAAATCATTCACAAGCTGAAGCAGTTTATTCAAAGCCCAATCTCCCATTTTATTTTCATTTTTTTCGCTTCGTGCAAATATATATATATATATATAATTACTAGCTAATCTATACTTATAGTAAAGGGGGTACTATTTACCAAATTAAGTAACCAGAAAAGTCAACAGCATTTATTGCATTACTATTTCCGTATTATACTATATAAAAAGATATTCTATTTACTACATTTACTATCCAGAAAAGTCAACTGCATTAAATGTCATTACTATTTTGGTATTATAATATTTTATTTATTTAATTGATTTATTTATTTATTTAATTTTAAAAAGTTAAGTATAATAAAAAGATTTTAATAATAAAAAAATTATATACCAAATAAAAATGTACACTTTGACTTATTTGATTATATTTGATATTTGATTATCCCAAATATATTCCTACATATTTAGTATATACATTAAATATTTACTAAAGTATTTATTTGTTTTATTTGTCAAAGTTAAGTATAGATTTATTTATATTACCAAATCATAAAAAAATATTAAATCCATATTGTAAAAAAAATCATATAATTTTATGACAATCTACTACACTATTTAACAATATTTCTTTTTTATTATATAATAAATTAATAATTAAATATTATATGGTGAACAACAATAAGTAAAACTGTTACTTTCTCTTATATCAATGGATAAATTTATATGCTAAAATTAAATTTTTATTAGTATAAATGTTTTAATGAGATAATATATTAATTATTTTACAAGCCAGCCCTAACATGCTCATATCTATTACTATATAATACGGAGAAGAAAAAATATTTGAACAATTCGAAAATAAATATTTCGTTTTCCCGCTTTTTTAAAGTCATTTTCCCGCTTTTGTATTTCGTTTTTTTACCATTTTCGGAATTTTTTTTGCCTTTTCCCGCTCATGCAATTTGTTTGAAATAATTCACCCATACAATTTGCTTGAAATCCGCCCATGCAATTTGTTTAAATTAGAAACTGGATATTGTTAACTAAGATAATAAGATTTTGGTAAAAAAATCGGATATTGTTAATTGATAATTGGATAATATTTTGGTAAAAAATCGGATATTGTTAATTGTTAAAAGGATATTGTTATTTGTTAATTGTTAAACAAAATTTCAAGTGATATTCTCTGATTTCTCGGGGCACAACAGAATTGTCGAATTTGGAATATTATCTGTCAAATGATTAAAAATTTTATTACTTTATATCATTTACATGTTTATGATGTGATCCTAATGGGCAATTGATATTAAAAGTTGGAGAATAATAAAAAAGATTCATACACTTCGAATTATTAATAATGGAAAACTAAATGAAATAAAATTGTTTACACCCAACCACAATATATACAATCACGACATACATCCAACCATCTGTCAAAAGGTGATTTTTTTTTTNTTCATAATAAGATAAGATTTACAAATTCGATTTGGTTTACAAATCATGTATGTACAAAAGATAATGATTAAGATTTCTGTAAGAAAATAAAACGGATTAAGCAAAACTTAATCCAAAACGCTAAAATTTGTTAACATTAGATAACTATAAAATTCAAAAATTAAAGCGGATTAAGCAAAACTTAAAATGATAATATGATAAGCCTAATTATTTTGGGTTAGAATGAAATCAAACGATTATCCAACTATATAAAATAATATTTTATTTCTTAAAATTTATTTAAAATTCCAACTATTATTTGCTTTAAGTTTATTGTAGATCCCATCTATTATTTGCTTACTATATATTTAAAATATAAAATAGGTTGGATCGAGTTTAAGGTGATAAGCACGATCTTTTTTGTTGTGGAAAATCAAACAAAAGGTATACTGTTTTAGGTATAAAATCTGATTTCATTTTATAATCCCAATCAAATTTGGTTATGACAGAATCAAACAATTTTAAATAATATTAAATTAATCGATTACTGTTAAATTAATGTTATTTGATTTTTAACTCTAAAATTTTCAAAAATATTATTTTTTATTTTTTTATTTTTTGTGGAAAATGGCGGCTGGATGAAAAAGTCAAATTCAAATTAAAAAAAAATTGTTATTTTGAAAAAGATAGTTTTTAAACCTTAATTCATAAAAATGTGGTCAATGATATCTTTAAATACAACGGGTAATATGGTCAATGATATCATAGATTATTTTTTATATTCGGATGGTTCAACTTAATTGATAATTTTTTTATAAAAAGTATGATGATCATATATATCATGTTGGATGCTATTAGTTTGGTTGGGGAAACTCATTATATTCAAATAAATAATATATAATTTTTCATATTTGGTATTTCTTTTCTTACAATAATGAGATGTTAAGCATAAATAACTATGTTTAATATAAAATCTTAGAAAAAGTTTTAAGTAAAAAGCCCGTCCGTGCATCGCACGGGATACACACTAGTTCCATTTAATAAAACATTTAATAAAAACATTTGCACTTTCCCTCCAAAAGGAGTAATATTTTTTTTTAATTAATTACTCACTAATTTCACATTTAAAAAGATTTCTTTTAGTTAAACCTAATTAGTTAATGGCTAAATTAAAAAGGTTTCTTTTAGTTAATCCCACATTTATGTTTCTTATTCTCATTTATATATATAAACGTGGCAGTCATTATTGTTATGAAGAAACCATATATTATTATTCTTTTATTCCATTATGAATTGAATAAGCAATTAAAGTTATAAAAAATATTAATAAATGTATTAAATACAAACATTATAATACAGATCATGTTACATTACAATATAAAAAATGAAATTATTTTTGTTTTGTAATTTAATTTCCAGCCATACTCCATCAAACATATAGCTGCAAAATGATAAGAAAGATTAGTTTCATAATTAAAATTAAAAATTTAGCTCCCCCAAATGGTAAAACCTTATAAATTAGTAGCATAGATGCATTTAGATGACATATAATTTATAAACTTAGACTATACACATAATAAGATGAATTAAAAAATAATAATGAATTAAATAAATAAATTATTATTATAGAACAATCTATATAATTATTATAGCAAAGTCTATATTGTCAATATTATCATTTAAAAGGTTCATTGAAAAAACATATGTACAAAAAAATCCATATGATCATAATTAATAGTGCAAAATCAACTATCTTTGACTTTCCATTTAGTAGTAATAATAAAATATTTTATATTACTACTGTTAAATAAAATGCATGATTTTTACAAATTTGATTATCGCAATCAACATTCTATTTCATAAATTAAAAGGTGTGCTGAATAAATTGTCTCCTATTTTTTATTAAAAAAAACTGTTGGCCGTGGAAAAAAAATATTATTTCACAATTATAAATATAAATATGATTAATTTTCATTAAACAATTCCTCTTTAAGAAAAAAGTGGCGGGACAAATTTCTGCATGATTATAGTATCAAAACATATCCAAAACATCAATATTTTAATGCATTAAAAACCATACTTTCAGCAATAGAAAAGTCATATTAAACGGAAATTGGAAAAGTCAAAGAATGATGATTGACAAGGCATTGTATGTAATGGCAGATTGTTGCATAATATAGAAATATCAAGCATAATTAATAATCAACAAAAAAAAGTCAAATCTATATGAAAAACACAGCAAATTATGTGGAACATTATTGGACACTATACAATATAGAAAGAAAAATAGTTTGATTTCCCTATCTTATTAACACATTCAACTTTTACCAAGACATCTGCCTTTATATTAAAATCGATTTTCTGCGTAAAGTTTTAAAAATAAAAATTCCTACAGATCTTTTAAACATTAAACAAGAAATTCCTAATATGCGATAAATATATCTAAACAGATTTGTTATAAACTTACCTAATATTTTCAAATTATGAACAAAATACTAAAAACTTTGAAAAACTTCGGCAAAAGACTTTGAACATCTTCAAAAAGCGATTTTGAACAAGTGTTAGCAAAGCTTCACTTACTAATATGATGAGAAAGACGATAAAGAATTGAACTATTTAGTGTTCAAAATCTGAACAAAATATATAAAAGTTACATATATATGTTATAAACAGATATGAATAGATATGTTATAAACTTACCTATATATTTGTTAGTAGAGTTGAACAAATCTGTTAGAAACTTACCTATTTTTCAAACCCTGAACAAAATACATAAAAGTTTGAAAAAGTTCGACCAATGTCATGTTCTCTTCAAAAAACAATTTCGAAAAACATATAAATAATTTCGAATTATGTATAAAATATGATATATCTTTGAAGCTTATTCACAAAGAATTTCGAAAAATGACACAGATCATCGAAAATAATAAAAAACAAAAACTACGTTTAACAAAAAATATTTCAGCTCTTCATAGATTTGTAATATTATCGTCCGATTTTGACCGACCTGTTAAGATTTAGCAACACAGATTAAGAAATCGGGACGAATATTTATTTTTCGATTACTACTATTAGCCACAAAAACAACATTTCTCGGATGTTTTTTTTTATTTTTTTAAGCCTTTACCGGGAGAAAATCTCCGGTAAAACATTTGTTTTGTATTGAATCGCCGAGTTTGTCGTAAGATCGGGTTAAGGATTAGGGTTTCAGACAGAGTGAATAACGAGAGAAGCGCCGACATCAAACAAAAAAAAAGTGGCTTACATCACTCTGAAGGAGTTTATCTCTATTTATAGACATGTTATCATTGACCTATTTATATTTGATTTTGGCCACCCTAAAAAATTAAGTGGACTTCTAATTTGGGTTTTTTTATCATTCAATCAATATATTTCTTTATGGCCCAAAAATTGCCATTTTGTTCAAATGTCTTAAATATTTGGCACATATCATTATTTATCAACCAAATACAATTATTTATTTTGTAATATTTTG